GTTACCATATTTGCCACACTGAGAACAGTGACTGTCTTCCTAAAAATCCCTCAGGGGCTTTGCTTTAGTCAAAGATTTAAGGTACTTTAGGAAATTGGATAAAATTAGGGCCTCGAAGAGCAAGTTAATCATACTTAGCCAGAACCCAGGTGCACAAAAGTAAAATATTGAGAAAACCTCAGACTGTCATTATCTTTTGACTTACGTGTGTTTTAGGGTGAAGTTTTACTTAGAGGAACAGAAGAGATGTTACATTCAGCCTGTGTTGGAGTTCAGCCAGTCTGTGCCTCTCTGACCTCTTTACATCTTCTTCTCTCTTGCATCTATCCATCCACCCATTCATTCATTAATTCAGGCATCTATTCATCTCTCCATCCTTCTATTCAGACCTCCATTCATCTCCTCCGCCCTCTGACCCACTTCACTTACAAATGTCTATGTTGGTGAGAGTGTGTGCATGTGAGAAAAAGAGAAATAGGCGGCAACACACACATGCCAAAGGGCTTCCTAAATAGCATCTTGCAGGAATGTTTATCATCTGAATGCAGCCACGCTGAAACAAGTCATTTTGAGGTGAAAGAAATAAGATAGTTCTTAAATTTCCTTTGAAAACAAGCAAGACAAAGGTGTCCAAACGAGAAACACAGTCCATTACTGCTGCTTGCGCAGGAAATAGAAGAATAGGAAAGAAGGAAGATACCGTTTGCAACTACAGTCTTCTTTACAATATTCAACAATTTGTGGTCAAAGTCTCAACTACCAGTGAGTAATCTTGTACAATTCGAGACCCATGAATTAACACTGCTGTCAGCTGCCAACCCAGACTAGGCCATATATAAACTGAGGTGATGGCAGGACCCAGTCAGCAGCAAAATGTCCTCCAATCACTTCTGGCCAATCCACCATATCCACCTACACAGATGGGACACTTAAGTACAACAGAGCAGAGCACAGAGTAAGATGACAGTGGGCCATTATGATATATACATTTAAGTAAAACTGTTCTGAGAATAACCATTAAAATTACATCATGTGGCAGGTACAATGCTTTTATTTTGTTAACAAAAGAGCAGGAACATATGTATATAAACACAAAATGAATCCCATATTGTCCAAAGTCAATAGGACATCAGTGACCTGCATTGGGTCACATACACACACTACAACTACAATCCACAGATCATCCAAACATGACCATTTTTACCATTGTGCGTCGTTTTCCATCCTATTATAGACACCATAGCTCTCAAAAAACTATTATTCAAACTCCATACATCTGGATCATAATATAAAAAGAAATTTAGATCATACAATGACATTTAAAATCACAGCTGTACTGAGCAGCTTCCTATCCATTCTTTCTAGCTTAATGTCACAGCCCCCATCTGTAGCTAATTTACGGCAGCTATATCCTCTATGAATATCTCATAGAAGGAGTTAAATCAAGCACGGGGGACTTGGTATAAATTAAATCCTGAGTGTGTGATATGCAGCGGAGTGCTGATTGTGTCTCTTTGATTGACTGGCCTGTGATTTTACAAGTATTACAATGAGAATGAATTAATATTGCGCAACTGTGCTTGAATATTCACAATTGTTACAGTTAAACATTTTTAAATATATGTGTTTTTCACCTATTTAGACTTAAACTGTACTGTTTATGTAGCCAGTTAGAGCTGTAATAGCTGATTTTCTCCAGAAGAGGGAAGCATTTTATCACCATCCTAAAGTAACAAGACGTTAACGCTGCTTCCACCACTGAAGACCTGCCACACCCGATGTTTGGATGTATTTTGTACATTTTTTAATGCATTAAAATCTGTTTTACCTCAGCCTTCAGTGCTTCACATAGTCAAGATAATGATGTTAAAAAACAGAGGAGGATTGTCCGGAGGGAGAGAAGAGTAAAATGAAGGATAGAGAAAGTGAGACTAAGTGCAATTTTTCCAAACCTGTCCAAACCACAGCATATCACTTCCACGTCTACAAGAAGTACAGGTATATGCCTCAGGTGTCAGTATAGTATGGTATTGTGTGTGTGTGTGTGTGTGTGTGTGTGTGGACTCTCCAGCTGGACTGAAGGCGACCTCAGGGAGGGTTGTTGTTATTGCAGCAGGATGTTAGAGCAGAACAGATCTGATACAGGACATGGCTTCGGCCAGGAGATGTGTGTGTGTGAGAGAGTGTGCCTGTGAGAGAGTGTGTGTGCTTGCGTGCATTTCTCCACCACCATGAGGAATGAGTTCAGGCCAGAGGCATTTCTCAGCAGGGACATCGTGTTGTTTCTCTGCATCTGAATTCCTACATCCCTCTTTCCCCTCTCTGTGTCAAACTTGTCTCTTTCTCTTTTTTTAACTTTACCACATTTTCTAGCAGTAAATAGTGTGTTTGTAACCGAAAACTGATTGGGCTATGTTCCTTGTTTTTGTAACATTTCATGTTCTTTTTAAAAAAAAAAACACACTTTTTTTTTTTTTTTTTAAATGTGAGGAGTTGAAAAGACAGCTTTTATTCTGGACTTCTGGTCCTGGTTGGATTCCTCAGACTCCTGTCACAAGTCACACCTAATGGGCTGAACGCAGAGTTCCTGCTGCTGACCTCACACCTTCACAACGTGCATCCTCCTCCTCATTCCATTAGAGAAGAAGTCGAGATAAGCACCTGGGAGTGATATGAAAGATGTTTTACATATGACGACATGACAAAGGAAGAACAGCTCACCATTTCTCCTAAAATGTCATTTGATAATGTCAGTTTGCGACAATATATGACACAACCCATGTCAACCTCCTCTATTAGTGAATGTACTTAAACGTACGTAACTTATTTCTGTGTTGCACCTGTCTCCAGAAAAGTGTAAAACGTAATATATATATGCCTGTGTAATGAGTTTTGTAAATGAGTTAGCAGGTTGACAGAGAAATATGATATAAGGGCTAAAGCACCTTGATTTTGACCCCTCATGCCTCAGATGTGACACTGTCATGGAAAAAGGCCCAAGAGGAAGCTGCCTTACGCCTTTGGCACAGTGCAGTGAAATAACACTCACATGTTGACTGCCAGGGAAGATCAGACTTGGGGCTGGGTTGTGGATGATGGTGGACATGGTGTATGCTCCACACAGGAATATGTTGTGCTATATACAATATTTCTTTCATGGATGCCAAAGAAAAAGGTTGTTTAGCTGTGGCCAGGGAAAACTTTAAAGCCTTAATAGCATGAACTGCAGATCAAATAAACATGCCACATTTGGCACAGCTTATCGCAGTAGTGGACCAGCCAAACAGACCGATGTATCGTCTTTCTCAGGGTAAGGGTCGGGCATGATGCAGCAAAATGCAAAATATGGAGATGGATTCGAATGACTGCAGCTGTAGTTAATCCTAAAGCCACAGGCACCGCAGGCATTCAGCATAGCCTGCATCTCTATAAAGTGGATCTTACAGGTTTATTATCCTACATTACCTTCTTCACTCTTTAAGCTAACATCAAAGGCTGCTCTCATAGTTGTAAACAGGAACAAGCTCAGACTATTTTCAGTTGGCCTGTCAAAGTGGACGGAGCCTCCCGCTGAGCCAAAGCTGCATGTTTGGACGTTGCTAAAGAGATATCAGCTGACCCAGTTTTATGTGCCATTGCAATGAATATGTATCAGGATACAGACATCTGGCATAACCATTGGGGGATTGAGCCTTCCCAGCAGATTGACCTCAGATCAGAAATTAATTGAAAATACAGGACCAATCACTTTGTTAAATGTTTGCTTTGAAAAGGGACAGTAAATACATATTGTCAGTGTTTAAGGGCCCGACGTTAGGTGGGTATTTGTGTGAAACAGAAAGGCTCCTCAGGTCACAGTTGTTAAAAGCAATAGGAAGTGACCTCTAACGAAGCCCATTAAGAACTTTAAATCAGAGAGGAAGCTGTGACCCCTCTGACACTTCCCTTCGGACCTTGTAACCTTGGCTCAGCCAGCACAGGAAGTTCCTCATTCATAGAGTCTAATTACCACTCAGTGGAGTGACCCCCTGGCCCCAGAGCATCCACCCTAAAGGTCTCTCTGTCAGTCTCTGCAGATTAGGAATGTTTGTCATTTTTCTTGTGTTGATTAGGTTGGCATATGAGTTCACTTCGCTGATGACACTGGGAATAATACTGTGGACCAGCGTGAGAAGGAGTAATAGAGGAGTAAATGAGCACTTATAATGGTTCCTTACTGCCCTTACTCTAAACTCCATTTCAGCTAAAGGGTGTGCTAGTTTTAGCTTGTTACATTAGGTAGACAGTGACGGATGGTGGTTTAAGCTGGGCTGGTGTGTTTTGACGTTAAAGATTGATGGTCTGACTTATGGAGGGATACAGTACATATATTTTGGTCAGATTGTTTAGGAGCCTCCCATTTGAATTCACCAACACTTATGGACACCAGATGTATCATCATTCACCTCATGTATCTGCCCAAAATACTGCCCTCTCTTTCCGGGGTATTTATGAATTGATCGATGATTTGGATCTCATTTGAATATTTTGAAGAAGATAAACTGATGACTAAGTGTTATAGTAACACCACAGTGTTATTATTTAAGTAAATGATTGTACAGTTAGTTTTTCTTGGCCCACTGACAAGCAGCTGATGCTATATTTGGCCCCATGCCCTCCATGTCCTTGTTTAAGTGAATTCAGTGCAGCGTGTGTGTGTGTGTGTGTGTGTGTGTGTGTGTGTGTGTGTGTGTGTTGGCATATTTAGGACTAGCTGTGGACTCTGATGTAAATGTCTGAACTTCCAAGCAGGTATTTCACTGTGACTTAAACAATTACTGGCAAGCACACAATAGATCTGAGCTCAGTTTTCTCTTCTTTTTTTTTTACAGAAAAGAATGGTTTGATTGTTGCTCATTGACTTTCTATCAGGTTGTGAGACCAAGCTTTCAGAGACTGTTGAATGAATATTGAATGTTTTAAACTTAGTTTCCTGTATTCTTTGTGTTTGGTATTTACAGAAACTGGGCAGTAGCATGCAGTGCGAGGAAGGCACAGAATGGCTGCTGGAACTGCTGATGGAGGTGCAGTTGCAGCAGTACTTCCTGCGGATCCGAGATGACCTTAACGTCACGAGGCTCTCACACTTTGACTATGTCAAGAACGAAGACCTGGAGAAGATCGGCATGGGTCGACCTGGTGAGAAAGTGTGTGTGTGTGTGTGTGTGTGTGTGTGTGTGTATGCAGGTTTTGTTGTCGTATGGACATTTATTAGTTTGTTTCCACAGTATGTGTTCTTGAACATTTGTGTCTAGTTTACCCAAAAATCAAATTCTAGTTTAGTTCTGCTGGGATCCTGAAAGTAGTCTTGGTTAAGACATTTGTGCTTCTGAGTAAAATATCTTGACTATTGGATGGATTGTTGGGAAATTTGCTACAGATACTCAAGGTCCCAAGGACAAACTCTAATGACTCAAACGGTGATCCTTTAAAAATAAAATATACAAAACCAGTAACACTCCCATCAGGTTGTACTTGCAAATGTCAGCATGCTAACACGATAAACTAAGATGGTGAACATGCTTATCATTATACCTGCTACACATTAACACCTTGGCATTTTCATTCTGAGCAATTTAGCATGTTGACCACAGACTGTAGATGTCGACGTTAGCATTTAGCTTAAAGCACTGCTAGTACACATTACAGAGCTGCTAGCGTGGCTGCAGACACTTGGTCTTGTTGTTACTTATCATCTCTTTCTAGATTAGAAATAAACAAACAGGCCATACAGATAGTAGTAATCTTCAACTGTGGTGTGCTTGTTTCTTCAATAGTCTGTTTGGCAGATAAGGAAGGTCGTTTAGTGGTAGAAATCAATTTGGCAGATCAGACAGAGAGGGAATTTCAGAAGCTGCCAAGCAACAATAATCATAACCAGGCAGCATTTGTCTCCTAAGCTCCTCTCTTTTCTTGTGTCATCAAGTCATCGAGAGTTATTTAATCTTTCCTCATGTGCAGTGGTAGTCTCTGCCTCATATACTGAATTAATTATAGACTGCACAGAGATTTTATATTAAACTTCACTTTTAGTGTTCCTCCAATTTTCTTTTTGCTTCCTTATGACTATAAAAGGGGTTATTCTACATCTATTTATAGCCTGAAGTGTTACTTTTGTCTGCAGTAATAGCAGTGTGTCATTTGGCTCACCCTCAGCATAGCTGGAGCAAATCCTCCATCACTAACACCCTTAATACCATTTTAAAGCCACAACTGGTAATTAGGCACAATGGGAAGTGACACTAAAGTGCCAAGTCTTTTGTCTGCAGTGTGTGTGTGTGTGTGTGTGTGTGAGAAGGGGATGGCAGTAATGTTCAAAATCCAGTTACTGAAGCCCTAAGGGCTTCACCACCGAGCCGCTTAAGACTAATTACACCCACTCCTCCTGCTCATATATTCACTCACATCTTTCTCCTCCACTCAGCCTACTGTTCTCAACACTATCCATCTTTCCTTCTTTCTTGCTGTTCTTTGTTTTTCATACTTTATCTCCAATATCCTCTCACATATAGTATGTGTTTGTCCACTCCCCTTTCCCGTCCACTGTTTGCGTTTTTTTCTTTATCCCCTATCATATGAAAACTGGATGTTTTCTTCCAGTTTTGGGAAATTACTTGAAATTCAATATAGTATAGTCTGCAAGTGTCCTATGGGTGTTCTTACACCAGGAAGACCTATGGGGGAAGAGACAGCTGCAGTCTTCATCCTTTTGTGTTCACAGCTGACCATCACTGCATTTCTCTTTTTTCTTTTGTTATTCTGATAAAGGACAGAGACGACTGTGGGAGGCTGTGAAAAGGAGGAAAACCATGTGCAAGCGCAAGTCCTGGATGAGCAAGGTGACAGACAGAGACACACACACACACACACACACACACACACAGGACGCATTTATTATGGTATGGTATGCTTGACATTATGTCGCCATAGTGGCGTCTGTCTGTCTGTCTGTCTGTCTGTCTGTCTGTCACAGTGTGGACATATTCATGTGAACACAATAACTTGACATGAACAATACACTTTGACCACTGTTTCTCCCTGTACAGATGATATGATCACATTTTGCAACACCTTGCTGAATTAATTTTACACAAAGACAAGTATATTAATGTAAACATGTTGTAAAATGCAGCCTTACCATAGACATTTCTGTTAATTTGATGCCAGTCTGCTGTTGTGGGCACTGCTGTGCTGTTAAATCCTGACATAAAATTCTTCTTATTTCTAGAAACAAAGGACATAGTGGTAGTGGAGTGTGAATGGCAGAGCTGTTTTTAAGTCCTGAACCAAGTCAGAGTCAAGTGTAAAGTCTCTGAGACAAGTTTTTCCAGTCCATCAATGCTTAAGAAAATTATAAGAGCACAATGGCAAAAATCACACCAAGGATTAAGTGGCATCTAGGAGTAGTTGCAGATTGCAGTTCACTAGTTCACCTGTCCTTTGCGAGGCAAGAAATTAAACTATGCTGGCTGCAAAACGTGCCAAAAAATGCAAACAGCCCTATCTAAAGCCAGTGTTTGGTTTGTCCTTTCTGGGCTACTGTAGATACATGGCGGTTCAACAAAATGTAATCACATCATCCCATGTCTCTTATTTGACATTTCCTTGCTCCTCAATCCTTGCTTGAACCGGTAGTTGTTCAGTTCCACCATCTTGCAGACTGTCCTAAAGCGCTTATTCCTGCACAGAGGAGCGAGGAAATTGTAAATAAGAAACTTGGGATGTAGCTCATGAAAGTCTGTAGATAAAACTGGCTCATTTTTGAGGTAATAAAAATACAACAATTATATATTCAGGTGATTACACACTAATGAAAACATACCTATGAATATAACATTCTATTTGTGCCAATAGAGCCTCGTCAGTGTAACACACTGGATCTTTAAAACGAATGTGCAACTGTGCAAAAAGCCCTATGATGAGTTTCTGTCTGTTTGGAACATTGTATTGTTTCTGTTCATCTCTGCTCGGTCACGTTAAAACCAGGATCAGAGAAATGAATTTAAGTTTGCTCTTTTGTAGTTAAAACACAGATGTGTATGCATCTGTAGTGAACATTTCTCCAGAGAACAAGACTGCCTGACCCTTCACATGAGAACGAGCACGTCCACATTCAGACACACACATACACGAGTCAAGTCACAAGAGTCTGTGACTTACAGATTCAGAGCATCGCTGGCATTTCAGCAAAACATCGCGCGCTTATCACACATGCGACACTGTAAGAAACGTCAATCTATGTTCACCTTAAAGAGCACAGATAAACCTTCGAAATTAAAGACTGTCTTATGCTATCACCCAAACATCTTATCACTTTTCTATCATGAAAACCTCCTTAACATCAGAGACTCTGCCATACTGATGCAGGTAGGGAGGGTGAGAAATTTCAAATTCAGAACACACCTAATTACTCAACATACGTCAGTGCATAACTTAATGGAGATGAGAAGGGCTAAACGAACAGTGATGTCATTCATGGTAGGTACTTGGCAGGTCTGGTGGGTTATATCGATAAGAGTGGCAGGTTGTAACCGTTTTGGGCTCGGCGATGCATACACGATGTGTCTAGATTAATCTAGGTAGGAACTCGGTTGGTATTTATTATGTCAATGAATTCATATTATATGGTTGTTAGTTGGTGTAGTGTGTGGTTTGGTTATTGTTGTTTGTGTTGGGTTGGAATTTCCGCATATTCTTCATGAATAGCTTCTGAGCAAATACAGCAAGCAACAAACGGATGATATTAAGAGATAGGAATAGGAGTCACTTGGGATTGGGCGTTGTCTTGGTGGTCTAAAGTATAATATTACCGCATGGACTATAAGATACACCGCACGTAATTCCGGATCATGGCCGCATCCTCTTACTCGTTCCCTTTGTATTGCTGGTCCTTTGAGATAGATAGGACGCGTAACAGGTAGGTTAAGCAACACATTGTATGCCGCCGAGCGGATTGTTACGCGTTGTCCATGTGTGGTGAGTGTTCTGTTTGGATGTTTTGTGGTGTTGTTTGTGTGGTTTTGTGTGGTGTTGGTGTTTGTTGGTGGTGGTGTTGTTGTTGCATTGTGTGCTGTGCTGCCATAGTCAGAATCTTTTGAATGTTGAGCCTCCTATTTGAAACCCACTTACCACACGGTGACCACAGAGATGTGGTGTTTTTATAAAAGGTCTGCAGCATTATGTCATGTCTGGTCCAGTGTGAATGTGAAACCACACACCGCTTGCTACTGTTTATATCTGGCCAGTCAAATATGTTTGGCACTGAGGATTCATTGACACCTCTTTTTCACTGACCATACCGTTTCTGCATACTGACTCTTTTTTTTTATCAGTCGATAATGAGTTCACACTGGTTTCAATCACTTTATGAACTTACTGCTCATGCACAGAGAAAAACATAAATGTGATTTGTTGCATGTTAATTGGTGTTGGGATTATTTCTTGTTAATGTTATTTGATATGTAGCTTGACATCGTTTCCCCTCAGTGTCTGACAGCAATACCAGTTTCTGTGCATTCCTATTTTGGTAAACAGTCTTATTTAGATCCTCAACAAAACAAAGGTTTCCCTTAATGGCCCTGCATAGCACACGGGTTCAAATTTAGGGGAATGGAAAGCTCTTGAGGACTCACACAAACACACACACACATATTTATATGCACACAGAAACATTCAGGTCCCTTAATCTAATAGTGCTTCTTAATGAGTACTTCCTAACAGCTAAGTCATCCCTGCTGTGTTGTCAGTTGTTAGCGCTTAAGCCAAGAGGCAGGAAATTTCTCTCTCTCTTCCATAATAAGTGATAAGTGTGTGTGTGTGTGTTGCTTGTTTTGGTACATGTGCATAGTTACTAGTACTTACTGACAGTAGATCCCTTAGTTTATGTTGAATACATTCCACCATATGTGTTGCGCATTTAACTCATATTGCATTAGCATTAGTGTGCACATAAGACCTTGTGCCTGTAGTTATACTGTAGTTTTAAGTGTGTGTTGATGGAAGACAGGCCCTAGGCTCTTATGTCCCCAGATAAGAGCCTAGGGATCAGTGTTTGATGATGGTGATTCCACTCTTTGACTGCTGGATGCTAGCCATGATTTGACTCTGCTTTCCACAGTCTGCTCACATCGCACAGAGAGAGATGGAAAAAAATAAATTTTTCTGCGAGGCTGACAGAAATGGGAAAGACTCGGAGTTCGTAATTGAAATGAGTGTCTGGTATCTTCCCTCCGTCTCCACCCAGTGTCTCCTGAGTGCAGAGCGACCTGGCAGATAGCTCAATGACCAATAAAGTTGTAAGATAAGACACAACTGTGGCTTTTCATAAGAGACTCTTTAACCCACCGGGCAGCCCTGGACACTTGGTTTTATAATATATTATACTATCGTTTAGCAGCAGTTCAGTTAATCTGGTCTTCTCACTGCTAGATAATGTACCTAAAAAAAAGGTATAATATGAAATTATTAGGAAAATACAGCTTCTTTCATTCTTACCCTTTTCTGTTCTCTAGGTGTTTAGTGGTAAGCGCCCAGACGGAGGAGACTTCCCCCAGCAGGGCCAACCGGCCTCCTCCTTTCGTAAGCTGTCTCCCACGCCTCCACTGGGCCTGGGCGAGGGGGTCCTGGCCACAGAGCCCGGCGGCGGTGGTGGTGGTGGTGGTGCTCCTCTGGACGGGCAGCAGCAGGCTCTGACCTGCCTCATCCCAGAAAAGGATCTGACGCTGTTTGAGAAGCTGGGGGACGGATCCTTTGGTGTAGTGAAGAGAGGGGAGTGGCTGACGCCTGCAGGAAAGGTGGTGAGGAGATTAGTAGAGATAGTACAACAAAACTCCTGTATGTTGAGGATATTTGTTAAAGAGAGAACTGGGTCATAGTTTGCATAAAACGCTATGCGCTGATGTAGGAATAAATAACAGCTGGTGCATGAATCTGCGTACCCATATTGTCTTTATGATGAGTTTGTGCGAATGTGATTAGAAGTGATTCTGCTATAAAAAGAGCACTGAAAGGCTCACTGGTATTAATACATTTGAAATCTTTGTCCTTGTTTGCAGCTGAACGTAGCTGTCAAGTGTTTGAAGACAGATGTGCTCAACCAGCCCGACGCTCTGGAGGACTTTATCTGTGAGGTCAACGCCATGCACTCCCTGGACCACCAGAACCTCATTCGCCTCTACGGTGTGGTGCTCACACACCCAATGAAGATGGTAGTGGACACACAGAAACGCACACACACAGGGAGGACAGACAAACAGAAACACACAGATACACACAAGTGTATCAGTCCCTAGTGTAGGGCTGCTCGATTATGGAAAAAATCATAATCACGATTATTTGGGTCAAAATTGAAATCACGATTATTCAAACGATTATTT